TGAAGAGGACTTCCCTGTTCCTCGCAGTGAAAGGAACTATTGCTGCAAAATGGAAAAATAATTATGAATTATTGGCACTGGCAGTGAAAATATAGTGATTCTTTTTTGGTGTGTGAGAAAAGTAAAGGAATTGTAGTGATCCCCTATAGCCCACAAATACACAATCAGCCTGAGTCTCCATGGGTGAATGCACAGGAACCCTTGCAGTTTTCAGAAGCCATAGGAAGTCTGATTGGTACATCTCAGTTTTAAATTCTTCCTTATTTTTTTTAGATCCACTTTCCTGTTATGTAATTTGTATTTTAGACTGTGAATATACAAACAAGATGATTTTACATATATAGTAAATATTCAATATAGATATATGTGACAACTATAAACTTAAATTTTATCTTTCTCTCCCCATTTCTTTTTGAATTGAGAATGTACCTGTGTTGCTTCATCTAAAATCACTAATTCATAAACTGAGAGAGATTTCATACATCTTGGATATTACATGTGAATTAACAGTGTTGCTGTCTAAGTGGTTGATGAGAGTCAGAGTATTGTCAGACTAAAGACTATGAAGATCTAGACAAATCCCAACTCGGCCATGAAGCCCCCTGAGCAATTGGGATATAATCCCCCCAATGCAAAAAAATAAAAATAAAACTTTTTTTTTCAAATTAGACCTCTTTCTAGGTCTAGTTGTCAGGAAAATTCATCCAGTGTTCCCTATGTGGACCCAGGAATAGACAGCTGGCTAGTTGGTTAGAATGTATATCCATATTGCATCAGAACAACTCTCCTTAAAAGTAATACATATAGATTAATTACATACATATGCATTTAACTGAGAATGCCATCAACCCCCTATATAACTTTTAATAGTTGCACATCTGGATCCATGCTTTACCCATGCTGTTGCTGTACCACAGCAAACTGAGGGCTGTATATTCCTCCTGATTGTCTACCTATGGTGGGAAACATTATTGATGGTCTCTAGGAAGTTTCTGGTTGAGTGTTTCAGCATCCACGTGGAAGCATAGGAATAAGAAAGTCCTCCAAACAGATTTGAAATTGCTCCCGTATTTATGAGCTTTCTTAGAAAATTCTCAGGAAAAGCTCAACTGCCTTCCGAGGGAATTATCCTGGACTGTAATATTGCATGTATACTGATAACATCATGTCCTGTAACCTTAAAATTGTAGTTTGTTTTCCAATGGCAATAGCTACCTGGAAATTCACCTCCCTCCCTAGCACACATTGGGAACAAGAGTGTTTTTAAGGATTTGGACCACATAATTACTTGGAAAAAAACAGTCAAGGGAAGTGCCCTGAACAGAAAAATTAAAAGATAAAAAGCTGCTCATTCAAGTGGGTTGTTGGCCATATACTTTACAATATTTATGACAACTTCCTTAAAATATAAAAATTATTTAAATTAAAAGTTATACTTATGTCATGGCCTTAGCTGCTGTGAATGGAGGGCATGACACTATCTACAAAAAGTTTGAAAGAGAATTAAAGAATTAACATTATCACAACTTTGGCACATAATTCCCAAAGTAGGCTGGTCAATATGATGGGGCAGAACATTTTTTACATTCCTTGCTGGACATAACTTCTTAAATAAATAACTTTTCATTCAAAATATATCTAAACATTACAGTTGTAGGGCAAATCAGGAAATTATAATTTTGACAACAAATTCTAACAGGAACCCATTCTCGGCTGTATCCTTATTCTTGATGAATGCCAGCCAAAGACTCCAGTGGGTTCAGTCATTCTAAAGAAACGTTTTCTATACTTTTCATAAAATTTATTTTTAAAAGCCAAGGAGATGCATACTTTTTAAAATATGTCTTTATACAGAAAGTAGAGAAAGCTGTAGATTAGATCCTTATTTTCAAGATTTAGCCTACAACAATGATGACTTACCTGAGTATGGTGGAAGGATTTATATAATTTTCAAATTTTTATAATTTGAAATTCCAGTAACAAGTTGAAAGCTACTTTTTAGATGGCAGAACCATAATACAGCTGGGGATTCACTTTAATCCTGAATCTGTCTGGTGCAAAACCATTATACAACTATATTCTCTTGGAATCCTGAATTGCCAATCAAACTTCATGATAACAGCACTGGATAGCATAGTGATGCTATTTTCTTTTTAATACTGTAAACTCTCTCCCATTTTAATAATAAGACTAGATAATAATAGCAGCAGCTTCAGCAGTAACAACTTTTCAACCAACAGTCCCAATTTCGTGCCAGTTTCCTTTCCCCATGAAAAGATGGATAACTTACTGCAGATTTCCTCCAAATTTTACAAAAATTGCAAAAGATCTAGCAAAAGTTATGCTTATTGACAAATAGGTGTCTTACCGAATTTTAGGAGTTGATTTTGGGAAGAGGAGCATGTCCTGGGCAGAATTGTTTGTGTGTTTGTAGTCGCCTAGGAGTGCTGTAATATTCAAAAGCTTGCACTTGTTTCCGCACTGGGCTGGGCCCCATTCACAGAGTTGCTTTATCTTATTGGGCTCCTGATAAACGCAAAAATGTTCTAGAGGAAGACATTCAGAGTTGCAGATATTTAAGATACGGACAGCCGGGCTGACTGAAATTTGGGGGGCAGTACGGGGAGACACGAGGGTTGTCTAGCTTCAGCTTAATACCTTGTCTCAACCCGGCTAAGGGTTGACGTGTGAAACCAGCCACTGTGGCTTAATCAAGAATCTGTGACTAGCTACGTATTGGCGCAATGTGTGAATTCAGCCACCCTCCAGAGCTCAGAAAAGGAAGGTCGGGTGGGAAACAGGTCCAGAGCCGGATCTGGAACCGGGATCCTGACCTGCCCCTTTGAGGCAAAAGAGCAATGGACGCGGGCTGCGCGGGAGCGGGAGGGGGAAGCACATTCCCTGGAAACTGCACGGATGGCTGGCCGGAGGAGTGTCCTTGTCGCTTCCCCTCCCCTCCCTTGGAAGCCTGCAACGCCAGCCGCGTGCGATCGCACCGTCTAAGCATCCGCCTCTTGTATACAGAGAAAAAGAGGGAGGGAGGGAAAAGCGGGTCTGGCCTGCCCCTGGGGCGGGGCGGATTGGAAGACAACAGCCCTAGCCCGACAGAAGAAGCAGCTCGCTGCCGGAGGAAGCCGCGCCGAGTCCCGCAAAGCAATTTAGTAAGTGCCGCCGGCCGCGTCTTTCCAAACCGTAGCCACGCCGTAGCGGAGCCTCTCCTTCGGGCTCCTCGTGCCTCCTTCCCGCTGATCGCTTTTCTAACTCTGGGTGAAATGACATGTCTTCCGGGCTCAAGCTGAGGCCACTGGCGTGCTAATGGACGCCCCGTGAAATGCCCCAGCGACCTGAGGCGGCTCTGAGAAACTTGTAGCTCGTGGGATGTTTTGTTTGGCAAGAGGGAGCACAGACACACGCGCGCGCCGGCTTGCTTCTTTATTGCACGGATTTCGATTTTTATTCTCCTTCCTTCTTAGCCACGTGAACTTACTTCATCTTTTCCCTCTGCTGGTGGAGGAAAGCTCCTCAACTGGAAATTTCATTTCAGGAGGGTATTTGGTTTAAAAGCTCCTTCTGTCTCGGTTTGCAAACTCCATAAAAAGGTCTCTGTTCGCTGGCTATTTACTCTGTGTATGGATGTGCGCGCGCGCGCGCGACCCCGTATTTGTACTGTATGTTAACAACACTAATGAAGGGAATCAGTGATTCCCTTCTTGCAGCCTACAGATCCCCGTCCATAAAAATGGCCCACGAGAATCAAAAGGAGTCGGTTGGTTAACCTCTTCTGTATATGGTCCATACGCTCACCCCGCCCCATTTTGCAATATTCTCCTGATTTCAATGGGACGGCAGTGAAGCGGCTCCCGAGAAAGAGGTGTTTTGTGAATTCAGCCCCGCAAGAGTGGTGCTCCAGTTCAAAATAGGTATTTGCAGAGGGTCCCGTCTGCTCCTGATGTCTCCCAGAAGGTAAAGGTTCGTATCTGTCCTCCTACTCGCTCACACCCTCCCTCAAATAAATCCACATTGTCCGATTTTCTGCATCCTCCCCCATGTTGTTGTTGGCCTTTTTTTTTTTTTTTTGCGTTGTTTTCTCTGTCCGTGGACGAGGGGCTCTATCAGACTCTGCTTCTTGCCAGACGTTGATTTAAGCAGAGTTAACTTAATCGTACAGATGGAGGAGAGACTTTTCAAGGAGCTTCAGAGCTACTTTCTCTTCTTCCCATTTCCTGTCCACCTCCTCCCTCCTCCCCATCTTCTGACCAAAACAAAACAGCATATTTATAACTGACTGGGGGCACTGTCTCGCCAGCCAGTCTGTGGGGTTCTGTAATACAATGATTTCATAGTCAATGGGGGATAGGCAGGGTGATGCTCTTACAGTTGTAGGCACCAGCAGAGGTCACCAAGCATGTTATAAAATAAGCTGCCTGCCAAGAGGTTATTTCTCAGTTTACAGAGGGGAGCAGATACAACTCTAACCTTAGCCTGGATTTTTTGAAAGAAAAAATAACTTGCTTTATTGAAAAAGGTGTCATTCCATATAGATTGCACTGAGCTCCTTGATGTTCATTTCTAGCACGTGTATGATTATTGAGCCCTTTATAAATCACATGAAGTTTCAGCTTTTACATTTTGAAGATTGCACAGTCTGTTTCGGATCTTGTTTTTTTTACTGCACTTTAGCTTAGTTATTGTTTTATTATAATTTCAGTGTTTATCTTTGAATGTATGGGATAGGAGTGCAAGAAGAGACATGAAACCTTATACATGACACACTTGATTGTTGCAAGATGTACCTTTATAAGGGAAATTGCAGAGGACAAGTGCATGTAAGACACAAAACCATAAACATTTCAGTGCTTGCATGATACAATCCAAAGTAATCCTGTTCTTGTCTGCCTGTCAAACTTTTAGGTGGTGTCAATCAGACAGTTAACATTTAGAATCAGCTTTGCAATAAGTGAATAACATTTATCCTCAAACATTCATGCAGCCACAGTACTTTGGCTGAAGTTACAGAAACTTTGATAGTAATCTGCGGCCCAATTTCCTCTTCCCTATACTGCCTAAAAGATATCATTCTCAGGGCTAGTTCTATAATTAAAGGACTGAAAGTCTGATCCTATAAAATTAGTTAGATGTAGCGGAATAAACAATGATATGAAATGCAGTTGCAACTAAATCCAGGTTTATTCTGGGCTGTGCCTTTGTTTATCATTAGACATAACTGGCACTGTGGCTGATGTGAATGAGTAAAATCTGTAAGATGGAGGGGCATCCAAGGGGAAATATCCTAGCCTATGCTCTGTACAAGCGAGAAACTCTGGTGGACATGATGGCTGCTGCTCTGCTGAGGTTAGGTCCAATCTCCGGGACAGAAGCTGGGCATGTGTTGGAGTTCAGACTCTTAAATCTTGGTCCATTTTGTTAGTATACCCAGGTAGCAGCTTGTAGAATTGGGTGGTCAAGATGATCTACAAGCAATAGTTGCAAAGTTCAAAGGAAGAACATATACAAAAAATATTATCGGCAGAGCAGATTTCCATATGATATTTAGCTAAGACATAAACCTCTTATATGAAATAGTAAAATTTAAAGGGCATTTTCAACGCACTGCATTTTTGGAATATATAGATATGAGCTGAGGTGCAAGGAATTTATATACACATCAGGGATTTTTGGTCCATCCTCAATAAAGCCATTTCAAAGTTTGGGGGAACCCTCTGGAGTGTCATGAGCCAGTGTGGTGTAGTGGTTAAAATGTTGAACTAGGACCAGGAGATCTAGGTCTAGGTCCTTCCTCACCCATGGAAGCTTTCTAGGTAACTTTGGGGCATTTGTTCACATTCAGTTCTACCTACTTCCCAGGGTTCTTATGAAGAATTATTGGAATAGGAAATGCTATGTATACCAACTTGAATTCCTAAAGAAAAACTAGAATATAAATGTAACAAAAATAATAGATTGCTCCTGGAAGGAGAAATCCATAGTATCCTAAGCATATAATCACATAGGCCTCTTTGATCTTAATTCTGATGCTTCAAGTGTGCATCTCAGAATATTAATGTTGCAAACATGGCTTTTTAACATTGCACAATACCCTTCACTCAGTTACTGAGAGCTCATTTTCTGGGATCACACAATACAGTTGAATGTGTACCCTGAGCTACACACATTCACTTCTACTGGTACAGTTGAATGACCACAGTTACTGTATAGCACCTGGTAGTGCATCTCAGGCAGCTCTGTCTGCCAAGTCCTAGAGTACACTGCATAGCAAATTCAGGTCTTCCTCTACATCATGTTTGAATTGGCCCCAAATTTTGTCTTAGCTTAATGGTTTCCAGTGTCTCAGGCTGAGATCTCTTTGGCTAAGTAGGAATGCTGTTTTGTTAGCAAAAGTAATAATTTCTGCAACCTGTGTTACATAACTGCAGGAAAATTCAAATTGATAGGCTTGCGGGTTTGGCCATAGTTACCTGCCATTAATACTTGTGCTCCATAGAATTAGTGATCTGGAGGTGAAACAAAATGTATCTAGTGCACATGCTGGTTCCTAAACCCCAAGCCTTACCTAAGATTGCATAACAATCTTTTGAATGCAGTCTTTGCTTTCTGCAAGAATTATTATAACCCAAATCTACTCTAATATAATTTTTGGCTATTAACACTTTTGTATACTTGTCAGGTCTCACCACCTAGAGTCAAATAACACACTTCTAACAAGCAAATTTTGCTCCACTTAGGACAAAGAAAATCACTTAATTTTTCTGATCTGGGGTTGATTTATTGCTTAGCAGCAACCATCTCATTGGCAATAAACACAGGTATTTGCAGGTTTCAGGTATATTGTTTTAAACAATGAAGTATTAGCCACATGGGGAAAAATTGTTCAGATATGTTTGTTGCTATTTTGTAGATGGTCATATAATTTCTTTGAGTTTTTGAAAATGCAAAGTCTTCCTAACTGTTCTCTAGAAGTAAACATGTACAGGGAATCCCTGCTTCTACGAAGAGAAGCAGATTGCACAAATGACACATGTTTGTCAACGGAGACAGCTGTCTCACATATTCTCCTTCTGTTGCCCCTGTGGCATCTAGAAATACTCAGTGTGTAACATGATACCATCATCCTGGGTGTTAACTACTACCCACCTATTGTCATTTGTGACATGTCGTTCTGCCCTTAGGGAGCAGGAGAGAATCTTTCTAGTTGTGGCATCTAAACTGTGGAATCCCTTCCTGAGGGACTGTTGTGGAGCCAGTCTTGACACCTGACATCTGTGGGCAGCTGCCAGGGCCCGCGCATCTCGGGAAGCTTGGCTGCTGATACCTGCCCTTATGTCCGCTTAAAAAAATGTGGCCCAATTTTCTAAGAAGTTAATTTAATTGCCTCTGAAGTGACATCATTATGGGAATGTAACACTGCTTCTGACTTAATTGAAGAGAGCTGCTATTCGGCAGCACCGCTAAAGAAACCCGCCAGGGCTCCTCAGCATGAGTCTCCCATATACCTGAGCCAACCTAGAAATCAACTGCATTAATTGTTGCTCAGCCTTCCAGCGAAGGCACTGTTGTTTGCTAAGCCTCTTGGAACAAGATTATGTGTTGCTATTATATACTGAATGAAGGCTGGTTATTGTTCCAGAGCACTGGTTTCTCCTTTTGTGTTTATGTTTTATATTGCTTTATAGTTTTAAAAAGATTGTTTGTAAATCCAGGCTGGGGTCTGGTGTCATCATTGGCTACTGCCCATCAGATTAGCTCCTTTGCAGTCACTTTTTAATCCTGCTCCCAGAACATTGGCATTCTCACACATAGGTCCCTATCCTTCTAAACAGGGTGTTGTGTTTATAAGAAGCATACTTTAGGTGCAGAGTCACATGTTATTGTCCTCCTGAGAAAGTCAGTGAGCATTTTCTGGGCTGTCATTCAAATACAATAGAAGCATTAACACAGTTGCTCCTGATGGTAACTGTAATCTGGTATATTTCTCAAAATGCCTGCCATGGACATGGGCTGTGGGCTGGCCTGCAGGTTTGGATTGTACAGTACATAAATGAAGTAAATAAATGTATCCTCAAGGACTATTGGAGCAGCTCATCTGATGAACTATGCTTGTATGTTATAGTCATTCTGTAGAACCACTGCTTCCCTGATGTAC